GAAGTAGTTCTGGTGCTTTTCCTAACTCGTAATAAAAAAGCAAGACTAAACATCATAGCATACAAAAAATATACAATTAACCTGTCAAAATCATTCTATCATAGTGGTCAGAGAACTATGAAGATTCCAGACAGAATTAGAAACTTTAAATATGGAATACCTACAATGACAATAGGTATAGGATGACAAATCTGGCTATATGAAAGGTTATTTATCAAAGTATCTGAAAAGAACAAGAAATGCATTTCTTAAATGAACAGTGTATCCAGGTGCAGTCGTTCCTTCCAATAACAGAGGGAACAGGCACCGGTTAGTCAGTTTATACGTACATTTAAAATAGGGGTGCTCTTTGGTGAGCCTTTTAAAGAACATAAATCAAAGCATAAAATCCAGCACAAATGTCTTCAATACTGTGTCTCAGCGTGATTGGGTTTTTTCTTGGTTTTGTTGGCAAGTTTTTTGTTGGGTTTTTTTTTGTTTGGTTTTTTTAAAGACCAACCTTCAGCAATACAAATAAGTATGGGGAAACTTCTCAAGCATAACAGACTCATCTCTCAATCACCTGGACCAATACCATCGCTGTGTCTCACCTGGCTGCCCTGTGAGTTTCCAAAATTCTGTACAGGCAAGGTAAGCAACAGGAACACATGAATAACTGATTTCCTATTTTCTAGACAAAGAAAAAAAAATTGGGGATTTAAAAATCACTAATTTAAAAAAAAAAAAACCTCCATTTGGGGAATTTAAAAACAATCAAGTACCAAGATAAAGCATCATTTTCAAATAAAAATTGGGATGTCTTAATTGGAAAACATCAACACTAAACATCATGATGCTTCCAATGTAATGTTCTTTTTCAGCAAAGATCCCTACGTAATTTCCTTAAGAAAGGTTGGGCATTCCATCTACATTGGCTGACTAAATAACACTTCTACCAGGATCATGTAAATTAATTTCTTTTCATATCTATCTAGGACCACTTTAGTCTTTTTATTCATGGCAGAAAATACATCACAAGTAACCTGCAGATCCCCAAGTCATTTCATCTTTGCAAGAAAATGACCTATCTGGGATGGCCTGAATTATCTGTTTCACTGACCTTGCATTTGACGACTAAGAAATCACTTATTAAATTGTAACCACTTGTGCCAGTATTGCAGCATCATTTCTGGAGATGAAGGAATCACTCACATGGCAACTATACCTGAAGATCTGTCAGTGGGGAATTTTTAACCCACCTGTGTGTCCAGTTAACTTCAGAAAATGCAAGCTGTTGATTCTAGAGTTGGGTTGTTGGGGTTTTTTTCTTTCCTAAATCAAAATGACACATGGTTTGAAGGTAGAGAGGAAAATTCAAGCAGACTGGATGATAATTTCCTTTCAGTGGTGGCTGTACAGTAGGTATTCTGTCACACAAGATACAGCTGGGCATAGGTGTAGGAGCCGATTGCTGTTCTGTGCATCTGTGTAACAGTATCAGTAAGACCATGGCAATATCTCAGAGAAACCTGTGCATAGCCCACTGGACCTTGCTGTGATAAGCAAAACTGATAGCAATGCAGTCCCACATCACATGTTAATTTACAGATTTTTACTACATTAGAGAAAAAATATGGCTGCTGGACAAATTAGCTGTTAAGGAATTACGACTCCAAAAACTGCTTTGCATTTTCTCCACCAGTAAGAAACAATATCCTACAACATTCTTAACAGAGCCAGAAAGTGTTATCTCTTTCCAAGAAACTGAGTCACAGAGAAAATGAAATACCTGTGAGAAAACTGGAAACTATACTTAAATTATATTACAGACTCCCAGACTGCTGCCTTAACTACAGGCCATACCACCTGTGATACCTTACATTGGTGTACCTCCTTGAGGAGCTCATTTCTTTCTGTAATATCATTAGCAGTGGAGTAGAATACAGACACACACACCCCCGCACACACCCACCCAGTAAGAGTACATTGCTTTTGTGTTGAGAACAGAGTAACAATCCACAAGGGCACTAAAAAAAGACAATCTGATGTCCAAGTCTAGATGTAATCTTACGCACATTTGAATTGCCTGGACTTGGCTATGTGAAACAGCTTCAGATGTGCTTCTCCTATTCTTAACACACAAGATATGTATTCTCCAAAAGTAAGCACCTTATCCCAACAAATACCCACCATGAATACATATCACAGGTCTTTAGATTACATGTGTAGCTACCAGTTAATGTGTCTTCTGCTGTAAAACTGATATCCTACAGTGGGACTCTAAGCTATCAAAGAATGTTAAATAAAAACTATGCGCGGCACAAGTTCGCACCAGACAGATTCAGACCCTCACTGATGTAACAGTGGCAGTAAGCAGCAGCTACGGTGTGATTGCATCTGTACCATCCTTTGTTTTCTCAGGTGGGAAGCCTACAAGGTTGTTTTCCACTCAAAAAGACTTCAGCAAATAATTCCAGCTGAAGGGAACTGACTTTGGAAGGATCTATACCATGAACAAATTCCATATAAGTGAGAAGTTGAAAAAGTAGTACCAGTTATTGAAGCCTCTCTCTCTGCAAGAGTCTTTGAATATTAATTTGGTTTGGCTACATCAGGAGCTTATACATGCAAAGCCTTGCCACTCCATTATTCACTTCAGTCCTTCTCAAGTACTATCATCATGCTAACAGAATGTGAACTAATGGTAGAAACACCATAAACATACATTTGAACCTCAGGTGGTCCCACAAAACTGAAAGTAACATGAGCTCACTTCAGCGTTTGTATGCAAGATCATTTGTAATTTTAGAGGCGAAAAAGATGAGCTAGAACACTTGAAATAAATAGAAATAGTACCATTTTTCTGCATATCTTGCAAATGGCTTTTCTCTTTAGCTTTAAAATAACTGAATGATTTCCACTGAGGAGAGACCACTCAAATTCAGAAACATTGGTTTTAATTTGGTGGAATAAAAGGGGAAAAAAATATTTGGTCTTGAAACAGAAAACTAGCCATAGTTAGCACCTCTCCATAGTTAGATTTATGAAATTCACATTCCCAGTGCTTACGAAATTGTAAGCTTTAGAGATAAACAGCTAAACTGAATTCAAAAAAGACGTTCTTCTTTTCTGTGTAACGAGCATTGACTGCCTTTTCTGAAATGTCCTCAGAAGCCCTTTCACTGGTGTTATTTTCATATCTTCAGTTTGATTTTTAACTAAAAGTTGATTTCAGCTTTATTTTGTTTTGTTATTAGGGACAGAAATGATATAGTATGTCCCAAAAGAGTGCACTGAGATACTTTAGCTTTGCATTTGTATTACTATATTGTGATTTTCAAAGAAAAGAATCATTAAAAGTTAATTTAATCTAATGAATAATAATGACAGATAGAAATCATTAAAAAAGATTTCTTAAACGGTCAAACAGCAAACGCTACCACAGGGAAGCCAAGAAAAGCATAAATAAGTCAGAATATTTTAGGTTAATGTGTCATTATTATTACTAAGAATAGACGCTTACTGGAAAAAATATTCACATATGAGGGCGTTCTAGTACAGTTATAACGTTAGGAGCTACATAACATGTTTTGTTTATTTCTTAGTTGACTCCATGCAATGGCTTGCATTACATTGGTAATGCTATAGCTATCCATGAGATAATAACAAGTATTACTGTTTATTTTCCAAAACATATGGGGTCCACATTACATGCTCAGGAATCAAAAGTACATTGCCAAAGCATCAGTGCACATCCCTCAAAAAGGTCCATTCTAACTAGATAACATGTGATACTCCCTCCGTACGTGCATGTTTCTACATAAATGCTGCTTCTACTTTGTACATTCTCTCTTAGACATTTGTCATTTTACACTTAGCAGTTTGGAATACAATTAACATTGATCTGACAACTCCTAAGATGCCTAGAATAACCTCATCCCCCTCCCCACCTTTTTTTCTCCTAAGCACATGTGGGAGGGAAGGATAATTTTTTTAGTTAGTGATCAAAAAGATTCAAAAGAGAAAGGGAAAAACGGTTTATAAAATTAACCTACACTTGAAATATTTTACTGGTTCAGGCCTCTGCAAAATTAAGTACTTACTGAGTCTTATGAATCTGTCAAATGGATTCAGTTATAGAGGTATTTGGGGAGAGGTGTTGGCTGTCTTCTGACAGTGGGATCAAGACAGCATAATTTATTCTATAATAGTAGATTGGCCTTTGTAAAATAATGGCTTTCAGACACTGATCAAGGTGCAATTCAACTGCTGTTTCCCTTCCTTCCTTTTAATTTAATTCCTCTTATGTTGAATAGTTGTAAATTATATTATAAAAGAAAGATTCAAATCTGAACATGCTCTGATGACAGAAAGAGGAACACAAACCTTTCTTTGTGCATATGGCATTCAGCACGTGAAGGTACATTATAATTACATTACTCACTGTAACAAAGTGTCCTTCAGTGTATCTGCAAATACAATTTGCTCCCATTTTCAAATAATTTTAGACTGCCAGAATAAAGTGAAGTAGCTTTAGCAACACTAAAGAATTCGAGTTCAACAATGATAAAAGGGTCAAAGTTTGTTCCTAATATAACCTTGGATGCTCTTGACAGTTACAGGTACTGAGCGCAGATTTTACCCACTATTTAAGGACAACTCAGCTTCCGTAGTAACATATGTCCCTTTAAAAACCAACACTTTTGCTTATATTTGGTCACAGTATAACAACCGATTTCAACCTGGAAAATATTTTGTTAATAATATTTTTGCCCATTTCTTTGTACAATCATTATATAGCTATTAGCATGAAACACATTATTTTTATTTTCACTTGGCTATTTTCAGAGATAAGGTATTTGTGCTTGGTCTGACCCCTCAGTTCAGAACATTATGTCCTTGTGACATGCTGCAATCAAAAAAAGTCTGTTAGGAATAATTTTTAGCTGACTTAAAAGAAAAAATAACCATATGGAGAAGGAATGAATAAAACACTTAAATTTGCTCTGAACTTATGTATACCTGAACGCATAGCATCTTTTTGAATGCTTTCATAATCATGCCAGTCCTTCCTTTTCAAGCCATCAGTCCAGGTAAAGAGCTGTCCATCTCCCAGCCCCAATGGAAGTGTCTGTGAAAACAGTAAACATACAAACAAATAAATACATACATACATATACGGTTTGCATTATTACAGAAGAACACTTACAATATGGCACAAGCAAATAAAACATGCAGTTTATCCAATGCAAATATTGAAACTTTACTGTGGTAAATGAAGCTATTTTTCTAAATAGTGTGAGAAAAACATGAATTTAGTTCTTGACAAACAATTAATTGAAGTATGTCGAACAACTCGTGCTTAACATTTCTCTTTCCAGCAGTGTCCTGCTATGACTGCTTGGCAAAAAGCTCATGGAAGTTAAATGGTCCACTAAAACGGAACAGGTTTCAAAAATGCCTCATCCTTCAACTCATGAAGTACCTGGATTTTTTCCTTAAACTATCACTTGTGCAAAATTGGAGTTATAGTTACTCAGCACCTTCCAATATTCCCCTTTAATTTTGGGTTTTTTTTTTTTTTTTTAACAGGTAATGATGAATAATTGCTATTCACATAAGGCCAGGCTCACTGCATCAGAGGCACAGAGCAAAGAGACCCTCAAAGCACTTTCAAATCCTGTAGATCTTTCTTCATGGTAAGAGATAAGGGGAAGAAAACAAACCAACCCACCCCCCAAAAAAATACCCAACAAAAAACTCCCAGGCAACACGCAGCCGGTAAGTTGACTTCCCCTTTCCAGGCTCCAAATTCTTGGGTAAAGCTAAGAACGACTTTTCGCTTCTAAGCAGATTTATCTTTCTAGAGCTTTTCTTTTTCCTCATTCTTTCTACCAAGTGCTGGTATTTTATAAAAAATAAAATAGAAAAGTACCATTAGAAGTACAGTAGAAGTACACAAAATTTAGATCTGTAGAAAGTAGTACAAAGCTGCAGAAGGTTTCAAATAAAGTTAGCCTTTTTCTAAATGCTTAATTTAGAAAAAATGTGGTAAAAGAAGTGGAGAAAATTTTGATAAGTAAAGATGATGATCTACCGTATCTGTGCTGAAGAAAGTGAGGAAGCGATTCATTGCTGCTTAGGAGTAACATGAAAACTCTAGTTCCATTAATTCTAGGTTTGAACCAGTAAGTTGTCCAGAATGAACGGCATATGTATAACGCATGTTACAAATGTTGTTATCAAAGGGTATGTAAAAACACACTTGAAAAGCAGTTCTGGGGAAGCAACACGTGATCAGCCTTCTACTAGGAAATATTCAAAGCTCTACAAAAATCTTGTGCATATGTAATAGCGATGCTCTGAACTTCATGTATTAAGTACATAAACCCAACGAACATTGGACCGACCCATCTTCTCTTACCAATTTAACACCTCTGGCAGCACAAAACTGGATGATACTCAGTGGCTTCAAGTGAAATTGTCCCAGCATTTTCAGTTAGGGTTTCTCTTTTTAGGACAGACAAATGTTTGCCAAGCTACATGATGTGGACCTGGTAGCTAAGCCATCCTTAAAACTGGGGTTCGAAGGCTTTCAGAGTTGTAAGCAAGAAGTGAGGAATGCCAGGCATGGCTGGTTACCTTCGAGCAAAGGATGCTAGAAATCCCGGCTGACAAAGATCCATGCAGAAAACCTCTGCTTTGGGTCAGCTGATACTTCTGTGAATGTTGGATATTCAGGGCAAGGTGGTGTGAGCTCAGTACTCTCCAATAAATCCTGGAGTTACTGAGAAAAATCCATCACAATCTGCTAGCATGACCTGCATTTTTTAGTTTTGATATTAAAGGTAACTTACGTTACATATCACCAAAATGCAATCCAGCCTGTGTTTATTCTTGTATTACAACTTTTGCAGACATATTCCAAGAAAACACTCTGCTATCATGTTTTAATATAATACAAGTCAGAGGGCCACACCTGGAAGAAATGAAGAAGAACTGAAGATATCCTGATAAAACTATTTCATGTTATCAAAATATCTAACTTTTCATGTCCTTGAAATGAACTCATTAATTTCAATAATTCTTGAGTTCAAATAATGCTAATGTTCTAATAGTAATATTAAATAGCTTGGTTTTTAGTCAGAAGCGTGAGGTAGAACATGAGCTGCAACAGAGTAAACCATGATTCTTGAGCCCAAATTCCTAAAATCATCCACTCTGAAGCACTAACTGGCTCTTTAGAAGTCAGGCCCAGACAGATTGGCTTCAATTAAACTTCTATCCCTTGTCAATATGGGTACAGCTGATGTGAACCACTTGGTCCCAAAAAGACTGTCAAAACTATCAAAAGCAGGATAAACTTTACTTTTGTGACCCTTTATTCCTGTGCTGGTTTCTTTCCCA